CGGAGGGACAGAGGGATGGCCGGAGGGACAGGGGGATGGCCGGAGGGGCAGAGGGAAGGCTGGAGGGACAGAGGGATGGCCGGAGGGACAGAGGGACAGCCGGAGGGACAGAGGGACGGCCGGAGGGACAGAGGGACAGCCGGAGGGACAGAGGGACGGCCAGAGGGACAGGGGGACGGCCGGAGGGACAGGGGGACGGCTGAAGGGACAGGGGGACGGCCGGAGGGACAGAGGGACGGCCGGAGGGACAGGGGGACGGCCAGAGAGGCTGGACAGTCCCGGAGCCGGAGCCCGGGAGCAGCCGAGGGAGGAGGAGAGCAGGTGGGGATCAATCGATCCTGAGGGATCCCAGGGGTTGGTGGGTCAGGGGGAGAGAGGATTGATTGATTGATTGATTGATTGACTGATTGATCAACAGATTGATTAATTAAGGAAGGGATGGGGGGAGCTGAGAGCAAGAAATAACCAGTGATTGATTGATTGGTTGATTGATTGATAACAGAGTGAGAGTGACAGGGTGATAGGTGGATTGATGAATAGATCAATATATTGATAGATCAGAGAGACTGACGGATTGATAGACTGATCTATCAATAGATCAACAGAGATCGATAGATTGATAGACTGGGCAGCAGATTGATCAGCCAGACTGATAAATCCATTGATCAAAGGATGGATCAATCCATCAACACAACAGCTGATCCATCTGATAGGCCAATAAATTGATTGATTGATTGATTGAGCAATCAATAGGGGATCAATAGGGGGTCCTTGGTGCCATTCTTGGGGGTCCCGTGGACGAGCTGGGGACCATCCACGGTCCTCTGTCCACCCTTGGCCCCTCGGTGTCCTTCCTCCACCCCTGGATCCAACCCTCGTCCTCCTCCCTCCCCAGCTCGGCTGTCCCTGCACCGACCACCCAAAGCATCCTTGACCTCTCCTGACCCCCCTGGATCCACCCTGGATCCACCTCTGGATCCAGGGGAGGATCCAGAGGTGGATCCAGGGGCGGATCCAGGGGAGGATCCAGAGGTGGATCCAGGGGCGGATCCAGGGGAGGATCCAGAGGTGGATCCAGGGGCGGATCCAGGGGAGGATCCAGAGGTGGATCCAGGGGCGGATCCAGGGGAGGATCCAGAGGTGGATCCAGGGGCGGATCCAGGGGAGGATCCAGAGGTGGATCCAGGGGCGGATCCAGGGGAGGATCCAGAGGTGGATCCAGGGGCGGATCCAGGGGAGGATCCAGAGGTGGATCCAGGGGCGGATCCAGGGGAGGATCCAGAGGTGGATCCAGGGGCGGATCCAGGGGAGGATCCAGAGGTGGATCCAGGGGCGGATCCAGGGGAGGATCCAGAGGTGGATCCAGGGGCGGATCCAGGGGAGGATCCAGAGGTGGATCCAGGGGCGGATCCAGGGGAGGATCCAGAGGTGGATCCAGGGGCGGATCCAGGGGAGGATCCAGAGGTGGATCCAGGGGCGGATCCAGGGGAGGATCCAGAGGTGGATCCAGGGGCGGATCCAGGGGAGGATCCAGAGGTGGATCCAGGGGCGGATCCAGGGGAGGATCCAGAGGTGGATCCAGGGGCGGATCCAGGGGAGGATCCAGAGGTGGATCCAGGGGCGGATCCAGGGGAGGATCCTCCCCTGGATCCCCCCTGGATCCACCTCTGGATCCACCCTGGATCCACCTCTGGATCCACCTCTGGATCCACCTCTGGATCCACCCTGGATCCACCTCTGGATCCACCTCTGGATCCACCCCTGGATCCTCCCCTGGATCCTCCCCTGGATCCTCCCCTGGATCCACCTCTGGATCCACCCCTGGATCCTCCCCTGGATCCACCCCTGGATCCTCCCCTGGATCCACCTCTGGATCCTCCCCTGGATCCACCTCTGGATCCACCCTGGATCTGCCCTGGATCCACCCCTGGATCCTCCCCTGGATCCACCTCTGGATCCTCCCCTGGATCCACCTCTGGATCCACCCCTGGATCCTCCCCTGGATCCTCCCCTGGATCCACCCTGGATCCACCCCTGGATCCACCCCTGGATCCACCTCTGGATCCTCCCCTGGATCCACCCTGGATCCACCTCTGGATCCTCCCCTGGATCCACCTCTGGATCCACCTCTGGATCCGTCCATCCCCTGACCACCCTGTGGCCATTCCTTGACCACCCCCCACTCCATCCTTACCCTTTCCTCCTCCTCCCATCCCCAGCTGACCTGGGCCGTGTCCAGCTCCGTCCCCGCTCCGGCCATGTCCTTCGTGGAGCTGCTGGCCCGCCTGGGCGGCATGGGCCGCTTCCAGGTGACCTACGTGGCCGCGCTGGCCATCCCGCTGCTCATGCTGGCCAGCCACAACCTCCTGCAGAACTTCACCGCCGGCGTCCCCGAGCACCACTGCCGGCCCCGGCCGGTGGCCAATGCCACCGCGGCCGACGTCCCCCTGGTGGTGTCCATCCCCTGGGACGGCCACCGCCGGCCCCAGCGCTGCCGCCGCTACGTGGAGCCCCAGTGGCACCTCCTGGACGCCAACGGCTCGGCCAGCGCCGCGGCCAACGGCACGGCCACCGCGGCGGCCACCGAGCCGTGCCACGATGGCTGGATGTACCTAGAGGGCATCTTCACCGACACCATCGTCACCGAGGTGAGGGAGGGTGACAGCCCGAGGTCTCCAGGGTGGGGGGAGCCCAGTGGCCTGGTGGTGGCCCTGTGGTGACCCCCATGGTGTCCCCATTGTGTCCCTGTGATGTCCCTGTGGTGTCCCCATGGTGACCCCATGGTGTCCCCGTGGTGTCCCCGTGGTGACCCCGTGGTGTCCTCATGGTGACCCCATGGTGACCCCGTGGTGTCCCCGTGGTGTCCCCATGGTGTCCCCATGGTGACCCAATGGTGACCCCGTGGTGAACCCGTGGTGTCCCTGTGGTGTCCCCATGGTGACCCCATGGTGTCCCCATGGTGACCCCGTGGTGACCCCGTGGTGACCCCATGGTGACCCCGTGGTGACCCTGTGGTGACCCCGTGGTGTCCTCATGGGGTCCCCATGGTGACCCTGTGGTGACCCCGTGGTGTCCTCATGGTGTCCCCATGGTGACCCCGTGGTGACCCCGTGGTGACCCCGTGGTGACCCCGTGGTGACCCCGTGTCCCCTCCCGGTGTCAGTGGGACCTGGTGTGTGACTCCAAGAAGCTGAGGCAGGTGGCCCAGTCCATCTACATGGGCGGGATCCTGCTGGGCTCCGGCCTCTTCGGGGTCCTCTCCGACAAGTGCGTGGACTGGGAGGGACTGGGAGGAACTGGGAGGGACTGGGAGGGACTGGGAGGGACTGGGAAGGGGGAGGGGGTGGCGTGTTCTCCGCTCCCTCTGGCGCCCCTGGTCCCAGTGTCCCCAGGGTGGGGCTGTCCCATCATGGCTCGCCCCCCCTTTGTCCCCACGTCACTCCCAGTGCTCCCAGTGCCTGTGTTCCTCATCCCAGTGCTCCCAGTGCCCTCCCAGTGCTCCCAGTGCCCCCCCAGTACTCCCAGTGCTCCCAGTGCCCCCCAGTGTTCTCAGTGCCCCCTCAGTGCCCTCCAGTGCTCCCAGTGCCCCTCAGTGTTCCCAGTGCCCCCCCAGTGCTCCCAGTGCCCCCCCAGTGCCCCCCCAGTGCTCCCCCAGTGCTCCCAGTGCCGTGTTCCCGCAGGTTCGGCCGCCGGGCGCTGCTCACCTGGTGTTACCTGCAGATGGGGGCGGCGGGGGTGGGCACGGCCGCGGCCCCCTCGCTCCTGCTCTACTGCCTGTGCCGCTTCCTGAGCGGGCTGGCCATGGCCGGAGTGTCCCTCAACTCCGCCTCCCTCTGTGAGCACGGGACCCCCGCGGGACCCCCAAACCCGGGGGGGACCCCCAAAGCCGGGAGGGAACCACAAACCCAGGGGGGGAACCATAAACCCTGTGAGGAACCCTTAAAACCCGGAGAGGGACCCCCAAACCCCTTGGGGGGGAGGAACCCCCAAACCCCGGGAGAGACCCCCAACCCCCGGGGGGGGACCCCCAATCCCGGGAGGGACCCACAACCCTGGGAGGGACCCCCAAACAGGGAGGGACCCACACATTCACCCCATAACCCACCGACCCATGGGAGGGTCCTGGCCCCAAACCCACCCCATTGACCCCAACCTGCACCCCAGACCCAACCCCACTGACCCAAATCCACCCCAGTGACCCACGGGAGGAACCCAGCCCCCCCCAGCCCACCCCCCAAGCCCACCCCCAGGCCCCGGGACAGCTCCCGAGGCCGCGGTCGTGCCGCAGGCATGGAGTGGATCCCGACGGAGGCGCGGGCCGTGGTGGGCACCATCAATGGCTACTGCTACACCCTGGGCCAGTTCGTGCTGGCGGCCGCGGCCTTCGGGCTCCCGCACTGGCGGCAGCTCCAGCTCGTCGTGTCCCTGCCCTTCTTCGTCTTCTTCTTCTACTCCTGGTACGGGACCCCCGGGTGTCCACCCCAGTGTCCACCCCTGGTGTCCATCCCAGTGTCCATCCCCGGGTGTCCACCCCAGTGTCCATCCCCGGGTGTCCATCCCAATGTCCATCCCTGGGTGTCCACCCCAGTGTCCATCCCCGGGTGTCCATCCCAGTGTCCATCCCCAGTGTCCACCCCAGTGTCCATCCCCGGTGTCCATCCCAGTGTCCATCCCCGGTGTCCATCCCCAGTGTCCACCCCTGGTGTCCACCCCAGTGTCCACCCCCAATTTGAGATCCTTTGGGGTCCTTGGATGGCCGGGGCTGTTCGAGACCCCCTGACCCCCCAGTTTGGGATCCTCTGGGGGTCCTTGGGGGGCCGGGGGGGGTTCGGGACCCTCTGACCCCCCAGTTTAGGACTCTTGGGGGCAGTGGGAGGTGTTGGAGGAGTTCAGGACCCCCTGACCCCCCAGTTTTGGATCCTTTGGGGGTCCTTGGGGTGCCGGGGGGGTTGGGGACCCCCCGATGTCACCCTGTCCCCGCGCAGGCTGTACGTGGAGTCCGCGCGCTGGCAGGTGACCTCGGGCAGAGCCGACCTGGCCCTGCGGGGGCTCCGCAAGGTCGCGAGGGTCAACGGCAGGAAGGAGGAGGGGGACAAGCTCAGCGAGGAGGTGGGGAGGGGTCTGGGCACCTCCCGGACCCCTCTGAACCCCCAAATCCCCCTGGATCCGCCCCTAAACCCCCCCCCGCAGCTCCCCGGTACCTTCCCCTCTATCCCTGACCCCGATCCCGCCCCGGTCTTGGGAGATCCCCCCCAAATCCTCCCCCATTCTCCCATCGATCCCCCACAACCCATTCCCTCTCGGCCTCGATCCCCCCCAAAACCCTTGGATCCCCCCCAAAACCCTCGGATCCTTCCCAGACCCCTCGGATCCCCCCCAAAACCCTCGGATCCCCCCCAGACCCCTCTGATCCCATCCAGATCCCCCGACCCTCTCTCAGACTCCTTGGATCCCTCTCAGACCCCTCTCAGACCCCCCCAAAACCCTCGGATCCCATCCAGACCCCCCGACCTCTCTGATTCCCCCCTGGACCCCTCGGATCCCCCTCAAACCCCTCAGATCTCCCCCAGATCACCTGGACCCCCTCCCGACCTTTCCTCGACCCCTCCAATCCCTCCTCAGACCCCTGGGATCCCCCCCAAGCCCCCCGGCTCCCCCTGACCAGCCCCCGGGGCCCTTCAGCAGGGCGGATCCCGGTGGATCCCGTTGGATCCCGTTGGATCCCGGTGGATCCCGGTAGATCCCGTAGAGTGTGTGTGTGTGTGTGTGTGTCCCGGGGACTTCCAGTGGATCCCACGGATCTCGACGGATCCCGGCGGATCCCGTGGTGGATCCAGGTGGATCCCGTGGTGGATCCCGGTGGATCCCAGCGGATCCCACAGATCCAGGCGGATCCCGGCAGGTGCTGCGGGCTCTGGTGCGCCGGGAGCCGCCAATGCCCGGCGGGGCCGTGGCCGCGCTCGTCAGGACCCCTGGCATGAGGACGGTGTCGTGCGGGGTCTCCTTCGTCTGGTGCGTCCTGGCAAAAAAAATATCTTTTATTGGGGAAAAAAACATTGTTTTGGGGAAAAATTCCAATGTTTGGGGAAAAAAAACCTTTTGGGTTAAAAAAACGACTTTCTGGTTCAAACCCAAAAGTTCTGGGGTAAAAAAATCTCTTGGGACCAAGCTCCACCTTCCAGGCCAAAGTTCCATCTTTGGGGACAACCTCCACCTTTTTGGGGTCAACCTCCACCTTCTTGGGGTCAACTTTCACCTTCTTGGGGATAACCTCCACCTTTTTGGGGTCAATCTCCACCTTCTTGGGGTCAACCTCCACCATTTTGGGGTCAACCTTCACCTTTTTGGGGTCAACTTCCACCTTTTTGGGGTCAACCTCCACCTTAGGGGACAACCTCCATCTTCTTGGGGACAACCTCCATCTTTTTGGAGTCAATCACCTTTTTGGGGTCTCTGTTTTGGGCGGTTTCGGTGCTGATCTGTGGGATTTTGGAGCAGGTTCTCCACCAGCTTCGCCTACTACGGGCTGGCCATGGACCTGCAGGGCTTCGGTTTCAACGTGTACCTGAGCCAGGTGGTGTTCGGAGCCGTGGACATCCCGGCCAAGCTCCTGTCCGTGCTGGTCATCTCCTGCCTCGGGCGGCGCCTGGCCCAGGGAGGCTCCTTGGCCATCGCCGGACTCTGCATCCTGGCCAACATCTTCGTGCCCAGTGGTGGGAGAGGGACACGGGGAGAGAGGGACACCGGGGGAGAGGGACACCGGGGGAGAGGGACACGGGGAGAGAGGGTCACAGGGAGAGAGGGTCACTGGGGGAGAGGGACACCGGGGGAGAGGGACACTGGGAGAGAGGGTCACTGGGAGAGAGGGACACGGGGAGAGAGGGACACCGGGGGAGAGGGACACGGGGAGAGAGGGTCACAGGGAGAGAGGGTCACTGGGAGAGAGGGTCCCCGGGAGAGAGGGACACGGGGAGAGAGGGTCACCGGGGGAGAGGGACACCGGGAGAGAGGGACACAGGGAGAGAGGGTCCCTGGGAGAGAGGGTCACCGGGAGAGAGGGACACGGGGAGAGAGGGACACCGGGAGAGAAGGACACCGGGAGAGAGGGAGGAGGGAGGGATGGAGGGACGGAAGAATGGAGAACATGAGAAAATCAGACGGAGGAGGGAGGGATGGAGGGATGGAGGATGGGGGACAAAGGGATGGAGGACAATGGGTTGGATGACAATGGGATGGAGGAATGGAGGGATGAGGATGGAGGGATGAGGATGGAGGGATGAAGGGATGAAGGACAAAGGGATGGAAGACAAAGGGATGCAGGACAAAGGGATGGAAGACAAAGGGATGGAGGACAATGGGATGGAGGACAATGGGATGGAGCGATGAGGATGAAGGGATGAGGATGGAGGGATGAAGGACAAAGGGATGGAGGAATGGAGGATGAGGATGGAGGGATGAAGGAGGGAGGGATGGATGACAATGGGTTGGAGGACAATGGGATGGAGGAATGGAGGATGAAGGACAATGAGGTGGACCGGGGATGGAGGGAAGGATGGATGGATGGATGGAGGACAATGGGATGGAGGGATGATGAAGGACCATCAGTGGGATGAGGGGTCACTGGAGGGGTGAGGGGTCACCAGGGGGACCCAGGATGGTGGGTGGGTGGACACGGAGAGGCTGGCGGTGACGCAGCCGGCCGGTCCCCAGAGCTGTCGATGCTGCGCATGGCCTTCGCCGTGGTCGGGAAGGGCGCCTTGGCCGCCTCCTTCAACTGCGCCTACATCTTCACCGGGGAGCTCTTCCCCACCGTCATCAGGTGCGTGCCCCACCCCCACCTGTCCATCACTGCCCAGTCACCGCCCACGTGCCAACCCAGCCTTCAACACAGCCTTCATCCAACCTTCATCATCCCACCCTTCATCAATCCAACCATTGACCACTCCATCCATCATCCATCCATCCACCATCATCCATCATCCATCCATCCATCCATCCATCCATCCATCCATCCATCCATCATCCATCCATCATCCATCATCCATCCATCACCCATCCATCATCCATCCATCATCCATCCATCATCCATCCATCATTCATCCATC